TTATTGTGCGGTCATCACTTCTCCTTTCGGGTCTTAGACGCTTACACAAGCTCCCGCCATAACACTTCTCATCCCTGTGAGACAGCTGTTATTGTACGAACATCACTTCCCCTCTCGAGTCTTAGACACACCATTAAAAGTGCTGTCTATGCTCTCATTCCCCTCCTATGTCTTCGACGAACAAATACCATTTCATGCTACAAATATTTATCCACAACTACATAAAATATAACATCTAAGCCATATTATTCAATATTAATACTACTCAGTTTTTGAGATGTTCTACAAATCTAATCGTTACTTATATTATTTCTTTGCACCTAGAGTCTTTGAGATTTAATAAGCTTGCAGTGCACCAGCTCTTAAAGTTGTTCAGGTCGAATTGTAGTTTCGTCTGGTAGGCACTTGTTTGCTCGCTCCGAACGTTCTCAAAGTTCAAACTGCAATGCTCTACTGATAGGGGATTGTAGCTTCTGGTTTTTCTAATAGGTTCGTGGATATTCAGACGACCTAAAAGGGCCTAACTATCAACTTCACCCTTAAGACGTCTATGATTAGTAAGCGATGGCATATTTATTAGTATAAGTCTACTTTTATACTATGGAAGGTATAGGTTTGCATTCCTGTTGAAGCGACGTTGAGCATATATTAAGAAATTCTTTTGGACAGATAATATAAGGAACTGGAGCACCCTATACTGGGGGCCCCAGATATATATGATATATATATATATATATATATATATGGGATCGTCCAGAATCGGACGAACTAAGGAAATGAAAAAGATATAATAATCTATATATATATAAAGGAATGTAATCATGTATGTCAGCTATAGAATCGTAATCGCTGGACTGTTTTTGATGAAAAATTGTGTACGTGTTCAAGGTGCTCCGGGTGTTTAGATTTATAAACAAGGAAATTTCGTGAAAACTTGGATAATTGATTGAAAATATGAAAAATTTATTGAAATTTTTTTTGGTTTTCTTTTAAGGCTTTTTATGTGATTTACGTAACAATTTATGTAAATTGTTAAATTTATGCCAGCTATTCACGCAAAACGTGTATAACAAGGCATTGATTTTAGTTGATCACATATGTTTGGCAATCGCTAGCCAGACACTGGTGCAACTGATAATGCCTGCTACAAACCGATCAGCAAATGAACCTTTTCAATTGTGAATTGCAACGAGAAGCAAACTTTGATTCTGTCGAACTCAGGACATATGTTCAAAGAAATCTTCCGCAGTTGGTTCACTGAACTGTTTTTCATAGATGCTCCCGGTGGTACTGGCAATACTTTTCTTCTTTTGCTCATTTTGGCAACGATACGATCACCAAATAATAATTGCGGAAACTCGTTTGGAGGGTGTACGAACAGCGCAATCAGCATTGAAGCTACCATTGAATTTACAAAACACTGAGACTGCACAGTACACTGCGAGATATAGGAGGAAACGGAACGCTTTTTGGTAGAGCATTCATTTTATTGTCTGGTGATTTTCGACAAAAACTGCCCGCTATAACTCGTTCAACACCTTCTGATCGGCATTTACAACAAAAGCAACATACGTGTACAACTACACTATGATGCATCGGCTAAAATAATTGCAAAACAATTAATATATACTAGAAATGAGCAAATGCCAATTGATTGCGAATTGGTGCTAAACGTTTTTCCAATTATTGCACAGAACTACAAAAATCCTTAGTGGCTTAGTGCTATATTGGCGGACAAAAACGTTGATGTCAACAGCATCATCACCATTCTGGCGAAATGACAACATATAAATCCATTGATACTGTGATGAATCAGAAAGAAGGTGTCTCGATTTGCCAGACTTGCCATCATTCTTTCTCGTAAATGATAAAAAGTTTGACAAAGTCACAGAGCTCAAAATAAGCACAACCGATCTATCTAGGTGTCCATTTGGATAGGCGTCCAACATGGCAACCGAATATCAAATGTAAAAAACCTGAAATGTATGACCGAAACGATAATATCCAGAAAGATCTCAACATCCTGGCATTATTAGGCGAGATCTTATGGCTTAAAGTGACCTGCCAAAGCAAACTCATACAACTAAACAATCTTGCCCAATAATAATTACATTTGAGATACCCGAAAAAAAAAACTGCCAATCATATAGTTACGTTAAAGATTAAATATTATATTTGAAAACTGCAGTATATAAAAAAAAGTATTAAAAGTACCTGCCGATGTATCCCGCTTGCGCCATCATTCCATTTCTATCATCCATAACTCTTTGTGGTTGATTATTTACCACTTTGCCGTCATCATTACCTTTCCATGTCCCATCATCTTCTTTAAAGGATTGGCTTCTGCAAGTATAAGTACATATTGTAAACAAGACCTTAATTGTATAAAAACAGTTTTCAATAAAAACTGGAAGAAACGATAAAGTCGAGTATCGCGACTATTATACTAATGGAAATGGAGAAAGCGCCACCTTTTGTCTTAAAAGCATGTTTACTAACTGATGGTGACGTCTCTATCCATGTGACGCCTTATATCCTATATTTGTATACAATTAGGATACAATAATGTTACGATTTGAAAAGAAATAAATCAAAATCAATAGTCTATCGTTTTAGTTAGCATAGGCACAAGTTCAGAAATTAAGCAAATCCTTTTAAAGTGCTTAGCGAATCCCAATAATTTGTTTAATGTGAAATAATGGTTAAAACAAGGTATTTATGTACGAGGTGTGTTCAAAAAGTAAGGTGACTTTTCAAATTTCTCGGGCAACATATTTTCGATTATCGTTTTTTTTGTTTTGTTATATTGGTACACTCTTCCCTAACATCTGTACCAAGTTTCAATGGAACATCCTCTTTTGTTTGGTTGTGAGAGGCGTAAAGTTACAAGTTGTTTTGCGAGCTCGGCGATTTTTTGCTATCGAAAAATATGGATCAAAGGATTTGCATCAAATTTTGTGTAAAAATAAAATTAAGTGCTCTGAAACACTTGAAATGTTGACAGTGGCATACGGTGAAACTGTTCTGAGTAAAAAAAAATGTGTACAAGTGGTACAAACTCTTCCAAGATGGCCGGGAAGATGCCAATGACCAGCCTCGCTCTGGACGCCCAAGCACGTCAACAACTGATGAAAACGTTCAAGCAGTGACGAAAATTGTTTTGGAAAATCGTCGAATCACTATCAGAGAAGTTGCTGAAGATGTCGGTATATCGCTTGGCTCGTGCCATGAAATTTTTTCAAACGTTTTGGGTATGAGTCGTGTGTCAGCGAAGTTTGTTCCGAAATTGCTGAATTTTGAGCAAAAGAACCGTCGCATGAGCATCGCTCAAGAGCTGTTGAATGACGTCAACGACGACCCAGATTTACTCAAAAGGGTCATAACTGGTGACGAATCATGGGTATATGGTTATGATATCGAAACCAAAGCCCAATCGTCCCAATGGAAGAGCCCAGACGAGCCAAGACCGAAAAAAGCAAAAAATCGCCGAGCTCGCAAAACAACTTGTAACTTTACGCCTCTCACAACCAAACAAAAGAGGATGTTCCATTGAAACTTGGTACAGATGTTAGGGAAGAGTGTACCAATATAACAAAACAAAAAAAACGATAATCGAAAATATGTTGCCCGAGAAATTTGAAAAGTCACCTTACTTTTTGAACACACCTCGTATATAGCAACATCGTCTCCTCCACTTCTGCAGATCCTATAAATATACAGGGCTTATATGCTGTTGCGCAAGCTCTGTCGGTGTTTGACTTTAAAAAGTTTATGGGATTATTTTTAATCATATTTGATAGTGACATGTCCTTTGTCAACGTTGAAGAGTTTAACCATTGACTTTGTTGATTAAACAAAGCTCTGGATGTCCCAAACAAGCTTATTAGAATGATAAGAAATAATCACTTTACCAAAACTGCCTTGACGCTATCCGAACTTTCCATTTTATATTTGTTTTTGCTCATCTTTTTTAGTCGTCGCACTCAAACGCACAAGTTCCTCCCCCTTGCCTTAAAACGTTAGTCGGCGAGAGTCCAGAGACATTCAGGTCCTTTTTTGTGAAAATTATGATATCGAATTGCGATCTCTCTAGCTTGAGCACGTCAAAATAGAGCAGTTAAATACTGGTGAAATAGAACCGAAGAATGGGGAAATAATTGAACACCCTTCACCCTTCTTTTATAATAATATTTCCTTAGATGAATTGTGAATCACTAATGATGTAGAGGAGGAATGAATCAGGAAATTTCATCAAATAAAGACTGACCCGTACTTCTGTCAGCTAAGTGCACAAAGCTCATGTCCCATAGAGCTTCACAGAGGGAGGCCACGTACGACAAAACCTAACCTTGTGACCGGACCCCAACAGTTATAAGCGCAAGGGAACCATTATTATTATTATTAATGGGTATCGATCGATGGCACGTTTATCATCATTAAAACTTACTTATCAATCATAAACGGAACAGGACTCTTGAAATTATTAGACTTTAATTTATTAGACTTTTAAAATTTATCAGACTGCATTGTTTTAAAAACTCGTGCACTGTCTGCAAAAACAACTTATTTCTGTCTCAACTGTTGATCATCAACCTTACCTAAGGCAGTGAAACTAAACCTTTGTCTTCAAAACAATATTTTAACACGTTAGCGCACTATATAGGTTTAAGTAGTGTTCGTGCAGATAACGAACGCCGGTAAAGCAAATTACGTTTCAAAGTTAAAGGGGACTGCCAAATTAAAGAAACCTTCTGGACGCCTTGATATTCCAATTGCAAGTGTTCTCTCCAAATTATTCAGGCTCTTCTAGAGGTATTAGTTGAGTTTTTAGATACAATAGTGGTTTCTCGCGAGAGAGACAGAGAGCGAAAGCTCTTTCTTCATGCGAGAGCGCAGCTTGAGCTTCAAGAGATCTTAGGTACTAAATTACATTGATAAGCAAAAAAACCATCCTCCAAATTGACCAAACATCGGTCGCGTTGACAGCATCAGCATATGCTTCAACTAATAGGAATAGGTGCAAGGCGGTGAATAGATCGTTTATATAGGCCCGATTTTGTTTTGACTACAGCCACTCGAGCCTTTCCATCATGTCCTGGATCGACCTCTACGACTACGCCCATTATCCATAGTTGAGGGGGAACGTTGTCTTCGTGAATTGCCACCACCGTCCCTATCTGAAGATTGTTCACGCCTTTGGTCCATTTCTCCCGCTGCTGTAGGCTTAGAAGATAGTCCCTCGACCAATCGCTCCAAAATCGCTGTTTGATTGCTGAGACTAATTGACATCTCTGCAAGTACGTGAGGTTGCCGTCTGCCTTTGGCTGCACGGTTGCGGGCGGCAGCGTTGCTAGCGTTGTGCCTACTAGCAGATGCGCTGACGTGACAACCTCTCCCTCGTTGGGACTGCCAATGTCCACGATAAGCGGCCTTGAATTCAGGATGGCCTCTACCTCTACTATAACGGTATGGAGCTCGTCCTCTTTCAGAGTAGCGTTGCCCATATCCTTGAGAAGAAGATGCTTGGCCGACCTTACGGCCGCTTCCCAAAGGCCGCCTATATGTGGCGCTCTGGGAGGGATAAATTCGATGGTGAATCGGTGGGCCGCAGCATACGCCATGACGCTCTGGTCGTTGGTGTCGACAGGTTCCAAGAGCTCCTTCAGGATTCGCGCAGCTCCCACAAAATTGGTGGCGTTGTCGCAATACAGCTTGACAACAGGACCACGACGACCAACAACCCTGAATAAGCATAAAATATATGTATTAGACGTCAGATCTTTCACGATCTCCAATGTACAGCCTTTGATGCAAAACAGACAAACACTGCTATGTACATCTTTACTGTCTGCTTTCCACGAATTCCAAGTGAGACTGTAACAGGCCCAAAGAGATTGACTCCGCTTATTTCAAAGGGTCTATTTCCCTGCAATCGTTCCTTTGGTAAATTACCCATTATCTGTGATAGAAGTTTCGCTTTGTAGTGAAAACAATGCGCGCACTGCCGTACAATGGCACTGCACTCGCGACGCGCATTTAATAACTTATCACTTGCCTGAGAAGCCCGACCAACGACTATGGGCCCGCATGACAATTGGTTCTATGTAAGTGCCTGAATTTCGCGTTGTGAGCAATGGGGGCATGTAAAAGACGGCCACCTACGCACAATAAGGAATATGAAGAAGTATCATAGTTTTCAACAGATAAAAAAGGGTATAACTTTTGGATTCCATCCCGCAAATTAGCTGATTTCTGCAGTCTTACAATTTCTTCCGCAAATTATGTTTTTTGAAAGGCTTCAATTACTTTTAGAAATGCCGTTCCGAGCTCATCAGCTGACGGACAAGGGGAATTCCACGTTATCTTTATCCTATGTTTGTCTAAGTTGTTTCAAAATTGTCTTCTAACCCGCATAATACCATATCTAGAAACACACAATGTTATCCCTGCTCAACAATTTTTCTTCAGTCAAAACCATGGAACAATTGAACAAGTAAACAGAATAACATCAGAAATCCGCACAGCCTTTAAGCATCGGGAATACTGCAGCGCAATATTCCTCGACGTATGTCAAGCCTTTGATCGAGTATGGCTAGATGGTCTCATGCACAAAATTAAAACACACTTGTCTGGATTCACTTATAAGCTTCTTGAGTCGTATCTATACAACAGAACCTTCGCAGTAAGGTGCAACACAGCAACATCCGGCGACTACATTATCAAAGCTGGAGACCCGCAAGGAAACGCGATAGGGCCTACTCTGTTCCTCCCATACACATCGGATATTCCCACGAATGAGCAGTTAACAACATCTACGTTCGCTGACGACACCACAATTCTAAGTCGCTCTGAGTGCCCAGGCCGAGCCAGCACACAGCTGGCAAATCACCTCCTCGTAGTAGAGAGGTGGCTATCTGATTGGCGGATTAAAAAAATTTAAACACATAACGTTTACCCTCAACAGGCAATCTTGCCCTCCACTATCATTGAATAACACACAGATTCCCCAAGTTAACGATGTTACGTACCTCGCGTCCACCATGACAGACGAATAACCTGGAGAAGACACATCCAATGCAAAAAAAAACATCTAAAACTGAAAGCCTCCACTGGATTCTTAACGCCCGTTCACTCCTGCGTCTGGAATACAAGGTCTTGCTTTTAAACTCTATCCTCAAGCCCATCTGGACATATGGCTCCAAGCTTTGGGGGAACGCCAGTAGAAGGAACATAGACATTATACAGCGCGTCCAATCAAAAACCCTCCGAATTATCACTGGGGCACCATGGTATATTTGCAATCTAAACATCCACAGGGACCTAGGCATTCTTACCGTAAAAGATGAAATAGACAAACAAAAACGTCCTACAATGAAAAACTCTCTATGCACCCCAATCGCCTCGCAAGAAGCCTACAACGCAACGACCTGGAAAGCCAGACATAACTTTCGGGCCCCTATAGCACAATATCAGTCATATGACTATTAGTTAGATTAATTAGGTTTAAGATTTGATACACTTATTGTTAGTCTCCAAAGGGAGAATATTCAATAAAATAAATAGCAAAGTTAAAAAAAAAAAATTTTTTTTCCTGCGGTTAATGAATTGATACATATAAGCAACAATGCGAACTACTTTCAGATACGACGATGACCTTTCTACAACATTTAAAATGGGGCTTAGCAACATCGGCCGCGATTAGAGCCCCGCGTGATTTTTTGGTTTCAAGTGCTGCGTCGGTTTCGGATAGCAGAAGATGTGCATTTCTGGATGAGTCTGTACCCAGTAAAGAACCACTTCCGAATCGGACCAAAGGACAACACTCTCGACCGGAAAGTTAATGATGCTGCGAACTTCTTCCCAAAGTTTTGCCAACAAGTGCGCTGCACATAGCTCTAGTCTTGGCACCGTCTTTGTTTTTAAAGGAGCCACCCTTTGCTGTTAGCAACTGTACAGACACCCCACTTGGATCCACCACTCTAACAAGTATGCAACACCTATAGGCTCGTGTGTTGACACACTGCTTAATTGCTTGTTTCCACGAATCTTGGAATAACCACTTTTTCCAAGAGTGCATAATCGTTTTTTACTAAATTCCACTTTTTCCCAAAGTCTTGGGGCACAGGATCATCCCAATTCAGACTCAAAAGCCAGGCTTCTTGCAGAAATATTTTAGATCTGGTTATTATTGGGCATAACAAACCCAAAGGATCAAAAAGAGTGGCGATGAAAGACAAAATTTACCTCTTAGTCACTACCTGATCTGGGAATACTTTCCTTACGCCGTATTTGAAGACATCCGTCTTTGGATTCCAGATTAATCCAAGAGTTTTAAGATCTTGAAGATCTCCGGGCATGCGAGTTATTCCATTTTGTCAAAACAAAGCCCGCTGGCTTTAGGATTTCAATAAGCTCGCGACGAAGAACCATCAGCTCCTCCTCTGTGTCTGCTCCAGTGATCAGATTGTCGACTTAGAAGCCTGATCTAAGCGCTCTTGCACCCTGAGAATGCGATTGCGAATGGGTGACGCTAAGATACTTTAAGCATACGATCCATACGTAACAGTACTTAGCCAATTAATTGAAACATTCGCTGCGTCTCGTCAACTTCCACTTGACGGTACATTTTAGTTATGTGAAAATTATGTGAAATTATGTGAAATGCAAACATGGCTGTATTGTTGGTCCTAGCATAAGAACGTAATTTAGCGACACTTGCGAAGTAGTCTTATAAGATGCATCAAAAACCACTCTGAGCTTAGTGAACGTGCTTTGTGGACGCTCTACACATTGGTAGGGTATAAAACAATGCGGATCTTTCGGTATTGTACCCTCGATTGCAGTCATATGTCCGAGATCCAAATACTCATCCATGAACTGCTTGAACATAAACTGTGTGTTCAAATTCTTAGTTAATCGTTTCTCTAACGATAGAAACCGTCTTCTCGCCATCTCAAACGATGATCCGAGACACGTTGGGCTTGGTTTAAAAGGTAAGGATACGTGCAGTCGACCAGAGGGTAATCGAACAATTGTTTCTCGAAAGATTTTCTCACAACGCATTTCTTGTGGGATATATAGTTTTTTACCCAAAACATTTGGAACCTGTTCCAACTCCCAGAACCGCTTTACTAATTTTTCAAGTGGACCAGACTCCTCCACTGTACTCACAATAGATCACGCTTAAGTTCTTTGGGGTTCTGTAGACCTACTATTAATATTTGTGAATACGAGAGCTAATCGTTGTGTGCACAATTTGGTGCGCGGATACTCTTGATTTTCCGATTCCCAACAAGTTAATTTCATTTCCAATTCGGTTTAACTGCAAGCTTCTTGCCAACTCGTCGGTTATAAAATTGACCAGGAAATCCGAGTCCAGAAGTACTCTGGCTGGCTGAACCTGACAGGAGCCACCTTTTATATCTACCACTGCTGTTGCCAAATCAACTTGCTGTTCTTCGGCGGCGCTTGCATGATTCGACGACAACGGGAATGAATTTTCTCCAGCTATCATTCCTTGTTGACTTGCCACAGGTTTTAAATCAAAAGTGCGTTTGCAATAACCTTTTCGTCGCCAACTGACAACAAGGACTCATATATTGCCGATACAGTATCAATAAGAGACCTGAATCTCAAAAGGTCGTGATATACCATCAAAAATATAACGCACTCGTTGTTATAAACTTGCGTTAGAGCAGCCAGAGCCTTTGCATAATTCTAATCCGTCACCTGAAAAGCCTAGACAGTACCTAACGCTTCATTTTCTAAACAACACAATAAATGGTTAAACTTTTCAACATTGCTAAGGGATGGATCACTATCAATTATACTCGAAAACAATCCAATAAAGTTTTTAAATTCAGAATAATTTCCACCGAACTTTGGCAACTGCATTCGAGGTAGGTGCCTTGTCTGCGAAACGGTTGTATTTAGTAACGAGTCGTTTAAATTTTTTGGCGGGGCTGGAGTTTTTAAGGACAACAACAATGCCCTAGTCATCACGCATAAATCTTCAAGTTCGGATCGCGATGATAACTCTGGGTTGATATCCTCCACCTTCAGTTGCAAAGAAAACGCACGCTCTATATACGAATCTAAAATACTCAAACGACAGTCCAGCTGTACAGGGTTCAACGAAATCTTTTTATTTTGCACGGCTTTAGCTATACGATTTATATCCTTTTTAACTGAATCCAATTTTTTATATTTATTCTGCTGAATTATATTTGTCGAAACTGTTCCCACTGTAATTCCGAACCAATCGAACTAAATATAAGGGATTTCCGAATATATACAGGCAGTTTTATCCACAAACACTTTTCAAGTACTTCACAAAGATGTAAGTTTCACTTCAAACCAAATAACTCAAGATAGGCTCAATATGGCTCGACCGTACGAGTGACTTACACTCAGATGAGCGCAGTGCAAACACTGAGTGAAAAGCTTCATTACCAAGTCACACAATCAACTTGGTGTATGTATGTATGTATGTAGTAGGCTGGGTGATCTCGGAACTGAAATAACCGCATGTAGCAGTGAAACCACAGCAAAGCGAAATTGGCCCAAAGAGAAGACGATAACCAAAGTACGGTATTTCTTTTACTGCGACTGTGTAATTATGTATGATGCATAACCCTTTTTTTTAAACCTTTATATTTTTTCTTTGAATTTTTTATTTTAATGGTTTATTACCTTATTTGTGAGATTTTTGTGATGACTCCAATGTGTAATCTCCAGCGATGCGGGCTTTAAATCCAAATATTATTGCCCAGCGTCCAGAAATCGGCTCCAACGAAATGTCCAAATGGATCCAACGACGAGATGTCCAACGATATGGCACACAAGTCCACCCGGGGGCGCCAAAATGTTCGTGCAGATATCGAACGCCGGTAAGGCAAATTACGTTTCAAAGGTAAAGAAACCTTCCAAATTAAAGAAACCTTCTGGACGCCTTGA